AACAATTTTTCGACTTTGAAAAAATCGATAAACTTTGAAAAGCATTATCTCGTAAACTATTACGTCTATAGAAACGGTTGTAGCCTCAAATTGTAAACAATTTAGTCTACTTTCAAAGCGTATTCATTAGTTATTTTCGACAAACTGGTCCTTCAGGGTTAAAATCGTCAAAATCTGAAAAGAAAACGAAAATTCCTCGGTTTTTAGTATATTTGACTATGTTGCGTTCGCCGCTCGAGGTCGAAAACTTGAATTATACATTGGGTTAACAACATAAGCAATCCCACAAAAAATCAGAACTACCGGATTTGACGCATGGTCTGTTGTATATAGTTACTGGACTGCTCGCAGTTACTATAACCAGGATGATGGAAATGGATTTTTTTTCGAAATCATGTTTCAGTTCTCGACGCGGTCATCATATTATGTTTGAATTACTTATTGCAAATAGAGGTAGCAAAGTTTGATTAAATTTAATGTAATGAGAACGAAAACGAGACAATATTCATTTTGTTTCAATATACTTGGGTATAGCGGAATTCCCTGTTTAATTAACGTCTTTATTTCAGATGATACTGGGATGCAGTGGAAATTGCAGCTGGTTTCCGTATTTTTCTTTCTCAACATCGCTACACCGCTTCCAGATGTAATAAGGATAGGTAAGTGCGCAATTGTAATTTTGTGAGCAACAATGTTATTATCGTATACCGTACACTTATTAAAGAAAAACTTGTCCCATGCGGAAAACACCCGCTACTGTCGTTTTGTGTTATTTGCTTTGCGTTAATGACTGTAAAGCTCCAACGGAATGAAATTTATTGAACCCTGTGTTAAGAAGCAACATCGAGGTAGTACGATTGCTCGATAAATAAGTAAACCAAAATTTATAGCCTTCAGTTACACGTTAAGTAGAAAATAGTGTATAAAGTAAAAATGTTTATAGCGTCCTTTATTTATATGGGTGGTAGGATATTATCGGTATTGTTTCTTAATTAAGCATGTCTTTAAAGGTATTAAATTCGTTAAGAACATTTACGTGTTGTATTAGTAGGGCGAGATCCTTACTAATAGGGTTATCGTATCAATGTAATCCCTTACCTAAGGCGCGTATTTATTTTAATATAAAATTTCGTTTGATACCGGAAACACCCTACTTTCGTTAAATATTTCGTTGGAAAATTAAGGTCATCACAAAGTTTTCTTGAAAGACGAAGACAAAAACTAAAAGATTCACGTTTTATTCATAAAATATTCAAGTTGGGTTGGTTTTTTTGCTTCTATTCGCGAGATGTTTACTAAGCTGATGCGTCAAAATAAATACGCAAAAAGGAGCATTTAACGCGATTGTTAGACTTCTTTCGTGAAAAAGAAGCAAGCTGCTTAATATACAAAATTTCAGTATAAATTTAATAAGGAATAGAATGTATACAAGACCACTACCCTTTCTTTTTCATCCTTTATGGTTGTACAAATGTTGCACAACGTCCCCTATATTTTTTCCTCTTTTTTCTAGCAGTTTATAACCCTTTTAGATACGAGACAGTTTCTTAGAGAAACCAATTCAGTCAGATTAAAATTATATCGATGGTAGGATATATATGGCCGTCTCGACTTTAGGCGACCCGATAAATTACACATCCCTTAAATCCTTTTAATTAGGACTTAGGTCACCTTAAAATGTGAAAATGGTTCAATCTGGCTGCGTTGCCATAACGAAGCTTAGGCGGTAATATAAAGCGAGCTTCAAAGGTATAATACCGAATTCAATGGTTCCGCGATGGAAACTTCATTCATTTTTGTACCTAGAGGGCTTTCATTACACTTTAAAATCCCGGGTCCTCTTTTCTATTTCACAGGCGACTCAATACCTACTTAAGTTCGTTTGAGATGTTATTTATCAAAAGTTGGCAGCCTTATACGTTTTTAAGAGAATTTTAAGTTATCTAAAAGTAATTAATTCTCCTCTTAGTACAGGTCTCATAACATACTAGTTGCTTTACATTTTGAGCCTAACTATTTTCTCTTTCTTGTGAGACACACCTTAATAAACGGTGAAAAGCTTCATCAAAAGAGAAGCAAATTGTAAGGTAGTGACCGATTCCTATTTTGATACAATATTAAAAAATTTTAATTAACTTACATTTATCGATAAGTTGAAATATTCTCACACTGACAACTGATTTTCTCCTCTGGAAGGCAGTAGCTATTTGGAAAATTAGGTGGTGGAACGCCATTATTATCTGGTTATTCATTGAAACTCCCAAAATGGTGGACGAATTTTAAATCGGCACAACCGTGTTTCAGGTTCCTCACAGTTTAGTATGGTACTATGGATAAAATTTAAAATCGTCTAAAACTGCCCTTCTTACTTAGGGTTTGCAGTTACCGAAGGGACAAATTAATTGTCTTTAATCTTTTCTCCGGTTACCGTTTTATTTATAATGTTAGAACATCGTGTAAACGAATTAGATCACGAACTTATAAATTAAGATGGACTGCTAATGCTGAATTAACAAATGACACCTACATGGGGGGCCGCCATGATGCGCACTCACTTGGCGCGAAATTCAAATCAACTAATAAACAAGCATTAACCCAACATTAACCTCACGTTTTCTAAATTACGCCCTACAATATCTGTGTTAGATTCTTGATTTCCTTGAATAAATACCTTTTCTTTCCCCTATTTTCCTATATTTCTCTTCTTTATAGTTTTACCCCTGCATTTCCAGACCAACAGAAGCAGGTTTCTAATTTTTTTCCTGTACGGCTTGGAAATATCGAAAAATTAGTGGCGCCTAAATTTTCTGAGCATTTATAGCTACCGAGAGCAGCTGGAGCCGTAGTGCTGGATTTCTTATTTTTTTTCAGTTTTCTTCGTCACACTGCATGTTGCTCATCTTCATTTAGTGAGGAAATTTAAGCTTCTGAAATTAGAACGATCATTTTATTTTGAAGAGTAATTACTTTAAATTGTTACCCGAAGGGAGAGATTGTTCCTTCCCCTACGGTTTTCGCCAAGCGGATGTTAAATTATGTGGCACAGATTTGATTACTTTGGCTGGTTTAATATCTATAGAGGTTATATCCGGTCAACTTTATTATAGCTGTTTGGATTGTCTACAATATAAATTCCTAATTTCGTAACCCATCGCGGGGAAAACGGCTCGTTACTCATTCTGGGGACAAATTTACTATCAACGATCAACCCTATAAGACGGACTGATCTACAGTAAGCCCTACTCAACTTTCGTCACCTTGGTTCCTGTCACCTTTTGTCTTCGTTGCTGTGACCATCTAGTCCGAGAGCTGGCTGGCATTTTAGGGCAGATATTTTAGGTAAGATGAGAATTTTAACATTTCTTTACTCATAGGCAGGTATAAAAACTTGCTGTGGCTAGCACACCTCCGCAAGCACGATTCTGCCCTTTTATGTCTAAGAATGTGGGTACCAAATTTGCTTTCAGTCGATTCAGCCTTTTAGCCGGAAATGAGAGTACAAACCGACCGACAGACCGACATCATCGAGATTTTGTTTTATTCGGATTACTGGTACTTCAAAACGTGTATTTCCGTCAAAAAATGAAGGGGGGGGGGCACTTTTTACCCCAATGCAATACCTCCCTTACTGACGTTTGAATCACCGTTTTTTCCGTTATTAAACTATAATATTATTAATGTACTTTTTGTGAAGGAAAAATTAACTGAATTCTTTACTGCTCTTAGCCATTTTTAAGCTTGGAAAGTGCGCGGCAGGTTCAAAAGTACTACAATAAACTATAATAAACTCAAAATGTATACTTTCAATGTGTCTCTAGGGAGAAACATTTTTTGACCAGAGGTTCATTTAGAAAAATGCTTGCTTTGGTCCCTTTTGCAACTCAATTTGTTTGTCATATTTAAATGGTACCTACCCTCTGTATATTATGTTATCGCCTACTAAGGTGTAATTACAATTTATAAAGATACACACTATACAATATACACTTGCCTGGAAATGTTCTTACAGCAACGGTAACTTTACTTTTCAAAGTGCAATCCGTAACTGTTGCAAGCAGTTACAGATATATGCTACAAATCTAAGGAATTAATCTCAAACTACCCTTTTTCAACAGAAGTTCATTATTTTTTAAGGGCGAAAACTGTTTATTTGTAAAATTGCAAATTAACGCTTATGAGAGGTCGAAATAAAGTAAAAATAAGTTGAATGAATGTTGTTCGATGCTCTGAAACGTTATTTGTGATTTCTATAATGTCTCAATCCTTCAAAACCACCCGGACATTTTTAATTAGTTTAACATCTTAATAAAACTTTTATTAAAATGTAATTAGTGAGGTATTTCTTTAAAACGTTTTACCTATAAAAAACATCTATTCTAACATCGTAACCCTTAACACCTCGCCCAGTCCATGTATTTTAAGGATTCGCATCGATTTGCGTAAAAATTGGGATGTAAGGTAAAATCATATGCCGATAGTGGTTAAAACTACCCTTTATTGTCAAAAGTGAAAAGTAAAACTAAAATTAGATACAGATAAGTTAATTGGAGATAGTTTTATTTTCTTGAAATTTTTTATAATTTGGGGCCTTTACAGCTACCCCACATTATGACATGTGCACAGATACAGTATTTAACCGAAATAGCTTAATAAATGGTTGGGTTATAAGGTAGTAAGCATGGTATATTTATCGATGTTTACCTTCATTGTAGATGATTAATGCGTAAAGGGTTCTTTACACATAAATATCAAAACGTACTGTATATAATGCAAAGAGAAACAAGCCTTTAAAGAAACCTTCCTCCAAAGTTTTCGAGATATTAATTTTTACATCGCTAGTAGATGTGTTTCGTCTAGAGACGATCTTTCCGCCCTTCTTTTGCCTGACTCGTACACGCGTACCTATACTAAATGCATGATATACCTATATCCAACGAGCTATCCTAATTAACGGTTATTTAAGTGAAAAATAACAGTAAAGGAAAAGGAAATCGAATGTCAATTAACTTAACTGCTGGTACGGTTCATATTAAAACGGTGCTTACTTAAACATATCTATTTCTTTGGATTCATATGAATTATATTATTATCAAGCATGCACTCTACAGTGTGTTAGGTTAGATCCAGTCACCCAAAGTTAAAAATGCGAAAATGCGGGACCTTCACATTATATTCGAGGTACAAGTCGATTTCTAAGGTAATGTTGTAAAATTGAGGTTAACCTACCGGACAATCTACCACATTGTGAAAGGGTCGTATAATTTCAAGCAACCCCAGTACATCCTAGAGAATGAGTAAATGTAAATGTTAACGAACACAAACCGGCCAGTAACCAAAGATACTAATTGAATTGACTAAGTGTATTGGTCGTCCTGCAAAACGCGCCCTCCCATTTCTCCGGATCATAAAAACTAACAAAATGTCTTTGAAAGACCATCAACAAGCGTCGTATCTTCTAAAGGCACAGAATTTCATTACAATAGAACAAAATAGACAAAGCATCGAAAAACAAATTATATTATGTGGGTATCAGAAACCAATCAAAAAAAAGGTGAACGAGGTAAAAACACTTCTAAAGGGATGCTAACAAATTGAATTCGTTCGGTAACGTTTAGAAAAGTTTTTCATCATATCAGATGGCGTCTAAAACCAATTGAGC